TTTAAGTATTTTGACAAGTTGCAGGTTTTTATTTACCCCCTTGGTTTTTTTTGTTCAGTTTTAGATTGGAGACTCATTTCTGCTTTTAGACAATAATCCAGCTCCCTCCCTCTCGTGAACCCTGAATTCTTATTTATTGGTTGGTTATGTGTTTTTTGTTTTGTTTTTGCATGAAGTGTGTTCTATCTTTCTTTTTTTGAAATCGTCAATTCTTATGTACCGTGTTATTTCATTTGCCTAATATTAAACACTCTGCTAACCAGGAAACTTAAAGTGACTGTGCAGGTTAAATCTCTAATCATATCACAGGCTGGCACAGAAATACATGGCAAGTTATAGGACTTGGATATATAAAGACAGTGCCTTAAAAAAAAGTGGGAGGAAGGGGAGGAAAGCAGTATATTGCTTAAATATTGCAAAAATTATTCACTAATATTTTTCTTTAGCAGTTTTATATCACAGTTTACTTTGTATTTAGTTACTTGGTACTGAACCAAAACATTTTCTTATGAACATAATCAGTTCTCTGCCTTTCTTCACTGGACAGTGCCTTTTACCAGTTTCTAGAAAAACGTCAATCTGTAATATGTTGGATTTAATACCCTTTAATTTTTTCTAGACTTTTCTAGTTTTTTTTTAATCAGAAATATATTTTTAGCTGACCACCAGAATGTCATTAAGCAAAAAAATACTTCGAAAGGAGAAATTATTTTGCAGAGATCAGCTTCAGTTTCAGTTGCTTTTTGCAAACATTTACAAAACATTCCGTCTGCAGGACTCCTGTCCCCACCTGCAGGATTTCTTCCCACCACCACAGCCCTAGGTGCTGTATAAGAAGCTGTAATCTCTTTTCAATGAAATGGGGAGAAAAGCTGGACTAGAAGTAAGGAAAGATAGCAGAAAACCAGGCTGTGCTCAAGCTTATTCTAGAATTTACAGGTTGGCAACTGCCTCTCAGGGATACGGTGGGGAGATTCTCAACTGCTGTCAGGTTTAGCTGGTTGGTCTCCATGACATAGCGCAGAATTTTGAAGAGATACTAATTCTTGTCTGAAGCCAGGAAATTTAAGGAGGTTTATTAACCAGAATGCACAGATGTGTTGAATAATTGCACAGTTAATACTCTTGGCTATCTAATTACTGGTTTTAACGCCGCTATCTCAGACCTTCCAGTCGGCTGTAGGGAGGATAAGAGCAACGAAGATGTTGACGAGACCTCGCAGGTTTCTAAGTTGCCTCTGCCGCTGCTGGTGTGCCCGAGCAGGCAGGAGCAGCGGCGCAGGTGCGTCGCCAGGCCGTCCCGCCAGCGGAGGGACGGGCTCGGAGGGAGCGCAAGAGACACCAGGTCTGTTCGGTCTTCGTGTCGCCTCATGAGCTCCTCTGTAAACATCTCTGTCCATTACAATTCGCTGGGTTTCGTTCAGTTGAGGACTGCTGGAGTGAGTGTACAGGGACTGCGGAGGGGCCGAGTTACGGAGAGCGCGGGAGCAGCAGAGCGGGGTCAGGCGCCGTGGCTGCGAGCAGCCCTGTCCTCCATCCGTCCCCGTGGGAACAACAGATGGCAGCAGGCGCCCGCGCCTGGCTGTTAGTGCTGCAGGCAGGGCTGGTACGAGGCATTGCCTCATCTGGATAAGCTACACAGCCTTTATTTAAGGCCGTTCAAACAGCAACTGCACTCTCTTTGAAGCTGTTTGTGGTTTATTTTAACTAGGATCCCCTTATTTTAACTAGGATCCCCTTCTAAGATGTCAAATCGGCTAAGGTGCCTAAAGTGTCAGTAGTTGCATTTCAAAACTCCTAGATGGAATATCTATGTGAATGCATATATGCAAGTGTCTGGATATAGATGTATAAAACATATATGACACTTTTTTAACATATACTTGAGCAATTTAAAATATTCATTATGAATTTACACACAGCTACAGCAGTTGCAGGAACGATCTGAATTTCCTCTTGGTAGATTGCAGTGTGTTGCCAAAAAAAAAAAAAAAAAAAAGCTCTTCCAAAAACAAAAAAACCAGGGTATGAAACTGAAATTGCTTAGCTCGATAAATTAAAGGTGCTTAGGATGTACTGCATATTTTTTCATACCACAAATCACTAACTTCTTAATTTATAATAGAAACTACTGTGTTCTCTAACAGCATAAAAGTANTGAATTTCCTCTTGGTAGATTGCAGTGTGTTGCCAAAAAAAAAAAAAAAAAAAGCTCTTTGAAAAATGTAAAAAGCAATAGAATGCATCTGTTATAAATGACAGCGATAAATTAAAGGAAAAATACGGCCAGTTTTTTGAAAGGTTGGTTAAAAGTGAATAGTTCAGATGGGTGGAATGCAAAATATATGACTCCTCAACAAAAACTATTTCCATGTCAATTTTTTCTTAATGGTAATTATGTGCTATAAGGCTGCACAGAAAATATTTGCGATAGGATTTAATTTCAAAATAAGAGTAAATATTTTGTTTTACATGCTTACTCAACTTGTTCAAGCAAAAACTGGCAGTAACTAAACACAGATTTCAACTTAATGCTGGGAAGTGTGAAAAGAGTTTCAATGACAAACCCTGTGTCCTCAAGAATAGTTTCTATTGCTTCTGCAAATGAGTTTCACAGAAAGCTGAGGCTGACAGGACTTCTAGAGACCACCTAGTCCAGCACCTCTGCTCCAGAGGGTCACCTAAAACACCATGTCCAGGATCCTCTCAGATGGCTTTTGAGCACATCTCTGAGGAAGGAGTCTCTACAGCTTATCTGGGCAAACTCTTCCAATGCTAGTGTGTTACCCTCACAATAATGAAGTTCTTCTTCATGTTCAGATAGAACTGTCTGTATGATCTTTCCAAGAGTGGAAGAGTAGCCGGGTTTTCAGCAAGGCTGCTGGATGATGTAATGCACTGACAGCTGAGCAAATCTGAAAAATGCAGCTCCCACTTCTGTAGGTTTTTCCTACTCCTCCCTCCATGTTTCATCCTTTGGATGGGTGTTCCCACTCCCTGGACCCTTTGCTGAACTAGTTTGACTTGCTAACATGGAGGTTTTTGCCAAGGTAATTATCTGTTTGGTTAGTGAGGTGAATCCACTTAGCACAGAGTCAGAGCCAGAACTGGTGAGGTAGGATGTGGAGAGCTTGAGACCAGGTACGCAGGAGTCCGTAATGATGGGGAAGGGAACTGCCTTTCTTGGTAGTAACAATGAGATCTCATAATGTGTAACTTCACCATCAGAGCTTTTAAAGGTATTTATAAATTTTTATTAATTCAGTGTGCCAAGTACTTGCAAATGTGTGACAATAATTTACAGTCCGCCTGCTTCTACTCGGCAGACGGTGAATAGTGAATATTCAGTAAAACTGTCAGTGGCTGAATCAGTGGACTAGTGGCAAATATAAATTTGAAATTTTCTGAGAAGAAAAATTTTTTAGGAATCATTTCAATTTTATGTAGCAGAAGCTTCTTTAGAATTTTTCTCCTTCATAAGTTTTCAATAAAGTACATTGCAAGTACAAACATGTCTTTTAAACTTTTCTGTGCTTTTGCTTTAAAAAGATAAAATCTGAAAGTTTTTAACCATTAAAGTAACATATGATGACAGAGGACCAAAAGGAAAAGTATTTTGTTGAGTGTATAAGAATACAGTTTCCATCTAAGATGTACAGAAAAACTGATTCAGAAACTAAGTCTCTCTTTTAATATGTCTTTTTAAAGATGGTACATATGGACTTAATTATGTCTTAGAATATGCTGACTTGCATTTGACCATCCTGACACAGTTTCATATTATATGCAGTGAGACACTTTATAAAGTTATATATATATATGTAATTCCCTTTTTGCGAAGATTGCTGTCCTTTGATAAGATCTCATTTTAAGGCACTGCTAGGGGAATAGAAAGGCGGATGAGTTTATTCACACCCAAAATACTGGGTTGTATGTTATGAAATATGTTCCCCAACCTGAATATGAAACATGTACTTTGTTGTTCTTTTGTATTTATAGGCTTAGGTATTGCAGACATTTCACCTAAAAAAGGAGAAAGAATTGCACAAACCAGCATTTCCACAGAACCTGAAAGTTCAGTCTCAGTTGTACCCCCCAGGAGAAGGAAAGAAGGACAATGTTTAGTCTGAGCTGTTTGAGCTTGCTGGACACAGTGCAGCTTCACAAACAGCTCCCCTGGCACAGCACGACCAAGGGGAGCTGTGCTGGAACTCCACTGCGAGGCGGAAAGGGAGTAATCGGTGGAGAACAGTCTAACTTGAAACAGATGTCTTGTGAACTAACCTTAACCCAGTTCTTTGGAATCATCTCTCTCTTGATTTGTAAAAACTGCCGTAAGGGGCTTGCAGATACCAGGTCTTACTAGGGAAAGATGACTTTTCTCTTTCCTTTGTGTTTGTGTTCTGTCATGACTTTGGAGCCAGATAGGGCCTTGAAGGACCCCAAGAGAGGGATGTTCTTTCTGTGGCTTATGGCTATAGAAAGATTATAGTAAAGTCTACTTTTACTGCTTATGGAAGGTATGACTTATCTACATCCTATAAAAGGTGTAACTGTAGACTACTTGCTATTTTTGAGACTCCAAATAAATTAGCAATTTTTATGAGAATGAGAACCAGATATTGCTGTATCCTTTATTGAACTAGTGTTTTACCCCTTTTACATTTGGAGTGTTCAGTCAGCTGTTCATCTAAAAATATACAGGCATAAACATATATATACAGCAGATATAGAAACTGATTTTTTTTCCAGGGACAATATAATTACTGTACCTTGAGAAAGAGGATGGCATTCTTTTTTTTTTTCTCCCTCTATTTTTTAAAAAATATGTATTTAATTAAGAATATGTATTCTTAAATGAAACCAAAAAGTATAGCACATTCGTGAGCTTAAAGGCATACGTGGTGGTCATGTGTCCTGGAATTTCAAAAGTATAAAAAGCTTTCTGTACACAGAAATTATCTGCAGATACAGACAATTATTTTATTTATTTTATTTAGGTATTCCAGCAGAGACTGTTCTAAAGGATGAACGGCTGGCTCCTTTGGATGTGGCAAACAGAGATGAAGATACCTGGGTTTTGGATTGCAGATTGGGGCAGTCAAACCCATTTACTGATTCAAGTGAGAAGGAAAAAATCAACAGAAATATATTACATTTGAGTCTGGAACTGAATGTGAGTAGAACTCTATGCTGTATTGGATTTCAACAAGTATGTTGAAATATTATGTACACTTATGTTTCTAGTATGTCTAAAACCATCTTCCACATTATCTGATGAATGATTAAGTTTTTAATGGGATATAGCTTTCCAGATGGTTCCAGATGGTTTATGAGTCCATATGCTTATATGTGACTAAGCTTAAGAGCAATATATACAGAAAAAATGTAAACTATGTAAATAGGTCGAAATACATGATGTGTAATTTGTTAAATTACGATGGGTGTTCTGTTTAAACTAGGGTTGCTATTTTTCTCAGGAAATGGATTGGAGGTGTTGGTAAGTAGGAGATGGCAAGGGTCCAGGTAGAGCAGTGTGATACCAGGAAGATGTCAGGCTGCAGCAGCACGAGCGTGTGTGTGTGTGTGTGTGTGTGTGTGTGTGTGCGCGCGCGCGCGCCCAGGGACACAGGCTGGGGCTGCCAAGGGCACAACGGGGCTGTTCACTGTTTTGTAGCAGCTTATGGTCAGACTGGCCAAGGGTTTGACAGAAACGTTACCCAACTTCCCGAGACACTGAAGCTGATACCAACCTGAGTTCCTTACAGTATGGGAGACAGGTTCACTCAGCATGGCCCAGCCTGGATTAGTTGGAAATAATCTTGTGCTCAGGGATAAGCAGTCACTTGCCAGCAAATTGATATACACTTTAGTGGCAGCTTTAAATTTTGAGGAAGGAGGGAAAAGAATATATTGGAAGAGGTGGGAAAAAAACCCAACATGGGTAGGATGGAAAATTTGAAAGAATGCTTTAAAGACTGTTATACAAATAAGAAACAGTGGCACCCATTTGTGTAACAGTGACATCTATTGGCAGAAATACCAGAATTGACTTAAAAATATATTTTAAATGTTCTAAATGATGCTTAAAGTTACTGTTGAGCTTGTTACAAATTTGGTCTCTTGTCCGAACTTGCCCAAATAATTCATTAGAATGTTGTTGTAGTACTGAGAAGGCAGAGGCTTATCCTTACAATAAGATTTTGATATGAAAAAATACCTGGACTGAAAAAAAACTGTCATCCTTGCTCTGGTAGAAGTAGTGCTAACTGCTACGACGGGGAGAACCCAGTCTGTGAGGATGAAATCTCCTTCTTTACAAAGTTGTTGTATACAGCAGGAGGAGTTCTAAATCCAATCCCATTACCCACAATAATTTAAATAAAATAAGAGCTGTCTGAGATTAATAAACATTTTTCCCATTTTTATTCCTCTCTTTAAGCTTTTTCTTTTTTTTTTTTTTTTTGTTTCTCTCTTGGAAATCCAATTAGCCATGTTATGAAAGAGGAGGGGACGATGACAGACTCTTGCAGTTAATGAAGAAAAATATTTATTCAGCTGTTTCTAATAAGTTCATAAGCAGAGTCTCTATTTCTGTAAAATGGGGCACTCAGGGTTGGGCCCACAGCATTTAAGTGAAAAAAGAATTACATTTACAAAGTCTCTCACGCCAAACGTTATCTGATGTCTGCTCTTTCTGTTAATGCCTTTTAATGATGACTTTTTATAAGAACCATATTATCTATGTGTCTGTTACTTAACTGTAAAGAAGTTATATTACAGATTCTAAAACTGCTCACAACTGCTCACAAAAAAAAAAAAAAAAGCAAGGCTTAGTTGTCTTCCCATTGCCTTTCCTATTTTAGAGTATTTAAAGAGTTAAAACACTAAGTATAAAGTAAGATAAAGAGATATAGAGACAAAAAGAGAGAATAAGAGGCTGTTGAGATGCCATCAGCCAGCCCAGTAGCCCTTGTCTCATGCAGCAGGGCCCTGATTAATACAAAGGTTTTCACTGGCGCTACAGCAGGCAAATTTGAGAAGACTTTTTGAAGAAGGCTGTTAAATTAATTTTGTGGATATTTACAGTAATTTCCAAATGTGAAGGTTGCATGTGAAGCACAGAAAATGGTGCGGCTCTTACAGATTGGTTTAAGATGAAAGTGGGCCTCATTATACCGAGTTAGAAATGATAGATCTGATGGGGATGTAACTGTAGATCCAGAAGTACAAGAGCAAAGCAGTACCGATGTCACCAGAGCTGTCTCGTACCGCCAGAGGCAGAATGTGGAGGTAAATGCGCTGTGAATATTTCTCTCCAGTCTCCACAGTCATGTTGTGCCGTGGCACCTTAAATCCACCCAGGTCTCTGCTGCCTGCCTCCTTCTGCCTCGTCATCCTCCCTCTTGCCCTAGTGCTCCCCGGGCACGCAGGAGCACAAATCACTGCTCTTTGCACAGTCCGGTTCAGCTGCATCGACTCCTCGAAGCAGCTCGTAGCACAGGCACGCGGGCACAGCCGGCCGGGCAGGAGAGGAGCGAGAAATGTCTGGCTGGGGACAGGGCAGGGCTGTGTCACCTGAGCTTCAGACCAGCTCCTGCTGCCAGGGCTGCTGCTGCCCTCCCCTCTTAAGGCTGAAACTATTCCCCTGTGTTTTGATTTTTAGTATCATTTTAAAGAAATTGTGCCAACTTGTTTTATTTCTAACCACTCATGCTGAGAAGTACATTAAAATGGGTTTTTTTGATGCAGTTTAGCCATTTGACTGCTTTGTGGCATGTGTTCCTGCTTAGTTCACATTTTTCTGGTTTGCTGCTGGAGGGCTGTGAAAAGGCAGCCCAACAGATAGGCTGTTGGGTTGCTTTGAACCTCATCCTGCTGGAGCGAGAGGAAAGATTATTTTCTATTTCTGCTTTATTGTATGTTTCTTTCAAAGAGAGTTTTAAAACATACTTCAGGGCACCTCAGGATTAACACTGGAGGAAGATGTAGGTGTGAGACCTATGTCTGGGATGAAATGTAGGTCGTACTGGGTGTGGATTATTAAATGCACCTTTAATTCTAAGGAATAATTGTCCTTTTGTATAATTAATGCTTGGCTGCTGTAAAAGATTTTAGGGTCTTTTCTGAGGCATGAAGAGTTTATTAAATGAATAGACTTCTCAGCACTATCATAGCTGATTTTTCTAGAGAATTTGAAGTTGTTTCATTGTTCAGATGCAGTATCAGAAATGTGTTCAGTGAGAACTTCCTTATCAGATAGACTCACCCAGTGTTAAAACACTTATGTCAACAAACTGGGTCAATCCCATTTCCATACCACAAAGTGATTATCTCTCTTCTTTTTTTTTTCTTGCAAAAATGTTAAGGGCAGGTAGCTATGTATATGTATTTTACTCAGAAGCCTGCTGTTGGACAGGTGCCGATCTGTATTTCTTCATGAGCTATCCAGTCCCTTTGTAGAAATGTCAAGTTTTGAGAAACAAGTGATTGCAGAATATGTATTTGAGGTTAGAGAGGTTACAGATCATGTGGTATTTTTGAGATACTGTCAGGCTTACAGTCCTTCATAATTTCTACAGCAGTAGATACAAAGATGAAACTCCTTTCATCATCCTAAAGCTCAAAGTTTGAAGCTTTCTTTTCACTCCCCCAAATTCATTATTTCTGGATTTTCTAGTTCCAGAATAAATTGTATTACCTTTGGCCTGAACCTCGTCAAACCGCCATCCTTTTCACTAGTAATCTGATCACTCTCTTGCAAATTTTGTTTGAAAATTGTTTAGCTATAATGGCTGTCCTACTTTTAAGCCCACTTTAAACTTTTTATGTGTCCCATTAAAATGGAGAATAGTTAAGAGAACAGCTGTCTTTAGTAACCTGGAAACATTCAGTATTTATGGGAATTTTACATTCCAGTGACCCTGGACTATTACATATTTCTGTTGTAAGTGTAGGTTGGCACACTTTTTTTCGTTGTGGATGTGGGTTGGCATTAATATAAAAAGAGTATTTTGGCATAATATTAATATGTAATGCATTAAAAATCATCATTGCATTTGGACAACAACAACAATAACAAAGTAAATTTAAATGCAGTTAGTAAAAAAAAAAAAAAAAAAAAAAGGCTCAGTAAACTCACTTTGCCCCAAATATTTTCTCATAAATTGAAATTTAGAATTGCTGTAGAGTTGCACTGGAGAAATCCTGTCTTCTGGGAAATCTTTCGCCAGAGATGAGGTAGCTTCTTGCTACCATTTGTCTTATTAACACTGGGTTGTACAAGTAGATTGACAGAAGCAGGGATAATGACCCTGTGTACAAGTGTTTGCTTATTCTTATATTCATATTTTTATATATATATATATATTATTATTTTATTATTCATATTTATTATTTATATATCCATATAAAGCTTAGAGAACCAGGGTAGGCATGGCCAAATCCGTGCCCATTTATTTCCCTCCTTTGTACCTGGTTCTTCATGCATTGGCAAAGCGAGTTCAGAGCTTACTACTAGAAAAGAGGTATAGGAAGGCTAAATAAATAAAAATAAATATATATTTGTGTTTAAATGGCAAATAAAGATGTGAATACTTACAGTAGCCTGTCTTCATAGGTATGCATACAACTATATTATTGAAAAAGCCTTTAGTATTTAGCAGTTTGAATCTAGGGAAACATTTTTTTCCTAGATTAAATACCAATGACTTCTGCTATAGACTTATTATCTTCTACAGTACATTTAAAAAAGAACACACAATTTTCTCTAATTAATTGCATTTATTTTTAAGCAGTTAAACAAAAGCTAAGTATGTTGGGACATTTTCTTGCTGCTTGTTGTCTGCTATATTGAGCTTTTCTTTTGGCACTTGCTGCAAAGGTGTGATCTGCAGCTGATTTTCCTGAGGGGTCGAGAGTGCAAGGCACGCTGTTCACAGCTCCGTGCTGCTGCGGAGTGAGCCCCTAACTTGGGTGCCAAGTGCAGAATTAGTGTATTTGAATTTTTTTAGATGCTAATGTGGTAAGCAAAGGAATTAGAAGGTTTCCAGCTCTTGCAGATTTCCAATATTATAAACAAATAAATAAAAAAGAACAAAAGTGCAAAACAATGTCAAAACTTAATGACTGCCTGAATATCAAATATGCCAAAAAATATTTTTTACTTTTTTATGTGTGTATTGAGAGAGAAAATATATCTAAAACATACCTCTGGCAGTTTCTTTTCATTTTGAGAGGTACAGACTTGAAGGTTTCCGTCAAGTAACTTCAATGACATTAATTAAAGGCAGTTTTGCACATTCAGCATTACCTGGGTAATGTATAGATAAAAGTTATCGAAAAAATACCTCAGCAGAGATTGTTTCATTCTGAAATACTGCAAGCTTGGGGCGCCGTGCAGCTGAATGAACAATGTGCCCGATCTCCACACAGTTAACTCTGTGTTTCTGGGCTCTGGCTGTTTACCCTGCCCACCCAAAGAGCTTCCAGTCACAGGCACGGGTGTGGTGACCGCCTTTGATAAGTACCTTTTTATAGTTTGCAGCAGTGGCTGCGTAGTAGGACAGTAGTAATGTGAAACCAGTCCTGTGGGTTTTCTGTGCATGGCCCCGAGGCTGAAATCTGCATTCCAGATGAAACCTGCAGCAAATGGGAAGAGAGTCTCGTTTTGTTTTGCTTTATTCAGCTTCAAGGGCATTCAGTCTGCTTTGCTTTGGCTGGTGGAGAACTCCGAGCACTGCAGGAGCTTTGTGTAACTTCAGTGGAGACTTCAGAAATACTGTTTTGCTTGGATTTTCTTTTTACTTTCTTTTTTGATTTTTTTTGATAATGGATTTACAAAAGGTCTTCTTGAAAGTGCAAAGATTGTATGAGAGAATCCTTCAGGAATTTTCGGCTGACAAATGTTCAGAACTCGTAAACTGGTATAAGGAAGTGGCAGACTGTAAATGCCTACTGCCGTCTTCGGGAGCCTTGTTTATATAGTTGCTCGGCACTTTTTAGCGAGTAGGAAGTTGTGTGTAGCCAGTAGAATTGCAGGAGCTGGAACAGCAACCATTGGCTGAATTTCCAACTGAGATTAGTGTGCTGGCATATTTGCTGGGACAAAAAGACCTTTGTGCAAAGGAACGAGTACCGAAGCTGCTGAGAACTTGTACACGGTGCGTCTTTTTCTTTCTCTTCAAGGAGAGCTTTGAGATTGGATGTAGGCACTTCTGGTTAGTAACTAGAGTGCTGAACCCGGAAGGAGGGGTACTGTTGTTGTCCGACAAGGAATCCTGCGAGCCCGTGATGTGGGGGAGACCGGCAGCCTTGGCGCTGTAGAGGACAGCTCGCGGCTCTCGCTTCCTGCGTTTCCTGTAGCAAACCGGCAGACTGAATGCATATAATAAACATTTGTGTGGCAGGTAGTGGCTCTAACAGGAGTAAAACTGTTCTGTATTTCACTCGACATGGAAGAAGAAAACGCAGCACCTGACTGCGGTGAGCTTTCCAAGTGGGAGAACGGAGCAGAAAGCGAAGCTGACCTTTTCACTACATTTTCTATGAAAACGCTTCTTGGATTTACAACTAAACTGGAATCAAAACTCTCCAAAGAAGAAGCTGTGCTCAAAGCATTTCAACCTTTGCACACCAATATAAATGCTCGTGCTGACAGCCAGCATGAGAGGAATGATGATGATTGTGATGACGCCTCAGAAAGCCAGCCCAGAGTGAGCAGGAGCAGTGGGCAAGCTGACCCAATGCCTGACAGCCAGCCTGGCCTGGAACTGGACTTAGCTGAGCAGAATGAATTACTGTGCCACCATTTAAGGTTTGTGGAGACTCCTTTGTCCGAATCTGATAATGATGACAAGGATGCTATTCTTGTGCAAGGTACTTTGGTTCATACAACCAGCGATACAGAGTCGGACAGTGAGAGCAAAGACCCAGACACCGATGAAAACAAAACTATCAGATGTGTGCTAAATAATGCTGCTTTGTCTGCTCAGGCTTTGGACAATAACAGTCAAAATAAGGAAGAGTCAGAATCAGAAGGGGACAAGGATAGTGATTACACTGTGAACACAGATGAAACGGAGTTACACCCACCACTTTCTAAGGAGCTTCCAGCAGGGCTGGGTAGTAATCTGGATCATGACTCTGAAGGAAAAGACAGCGTGTTAATGGATGAGCACTTAAGTCGCTTGCTTGCTATAGGGAAAAGCCCTCAAGAACTTTCAGATGAAGAACAGAGACCTTCAGCTGGTAACACCTCTCGCCAAAAAACAACGCTGGTTGAAAAGACTTTTCAGCTGCCTGCTTTCTTTAGTGGACTGCGTGTGAGGAAAAAAGGACTAACCACAGAGGATGGGGAGACTGTTACAGAAATTAAACCGAGGGAGGATGATTTAGCTCTGCTTAAGTTACGACAGCCTGTTAAGAAATCCAACATTACATCAGGTTTGACCACTAAAAAAAAATCAGCTGAGCTTAAAGCAAGTCCTACTTTCCTGGAGCAACTCTCTCACTTGTTAAACATAGATGTCTCCAAGAATGACGAGAGAGCAGAAGATTCTGGTGAGGGTTCTGGTGAGACTGAGGACAGTGATGAAGCTCAAGAGAACAAGGCATCTGTTAAAACAGAACCACGTTTCCTCTCTGAGGAAATAAAATCAAGTCCTACTGAATCTGCACTGGATGTTTTTAAAGCTCTATTCACGCGGCCTCCCAAAAAAGAAACAACTGCAGATCCTTCAGAACTGGAAGCCATAAAACGCAAAATGAGAAATGAAAAAGAGTCCTTGAAAGCTGTATTTGAAAGGTCAAAATCAAAACCCGGGGATGGACCGTCAGACAAATCTGTAGGTTGAATTACTTTTTCTTCCTGAGATCTGGAAGTTGATGAATCTGATTTTTTTTTTTTTCTTGTTTAAAAATAATGGTGAGAAGTTAAAATCAAAATGTCAGATTTGCCCTCTGTTTTTGCAGTCTTTAAGTTTTGGATTGTGAACTTGAGTATTTTGGGGACAGATTTTTCAAAATTGCTAATCACAAGTTCTAGCTGAATTTCGGTGAGGATAGGTGGTAATCAAGCTTCTGAATTGAAAGAACGTAAAAATAACTATCAGATCTTAAAATATTGCTACAAGACAGTTGTCCATATGTTAAGCATGACTTAAAATGAGTTTTGTTACTAATATTTACTGTAATATTATTTACTATTGTCTTTTTCACTGCTTGCTTTTTTTATTTTTAAACTTTTAAACTGGTATTTCATTTTAACTGTAAGGATAATTGTGCGATGAGAGCTGATGCAATATGTAAGGAATGATTTTCAATATAATTTGTGCAAGAAAGTATCGATAAGTATTTAGCCCTTTCCCAGCATAATTCAGTGATTCCAGCTAGACAACCTAATATTTTTTAAAATTTGCAAGGTTAATAACCTTATGCATGCCATGATTTGGATATACACTTTTGAGAAAAGAAAAAAGTCTGTGCTAAGATTTTGTAAAATGACAGCAAGAAATGAAGTTTGAGTGCAATTTGAACTCTTTTACCGAATGTGCAACCCCTCCCGCTTCCCCAAGCTTCTTGTTCTTACATCTTCATCAGATATTATTAACTCATAAGAATGTTCCTGTCAGCTGCAGAGGGAATTACCTGAATGATTAAGCATTACAGAATCAGACCCCAAATCCAAAGCAACATAAGTTAATTTGCTGTGTTAATCTGTGTGTACTTTGTTGTTGCTTTGTTTTTAAAACTTCTTTAAAACTGTGACTGACACCTGAGCAGGCTGAGAATACAGGTTTAAAGTAGCCTATGTCTATGGAGGAGAAAAGAGGTCCTTGCTGGCTGTGGCGTGTGCAGCAGCTAGAGGTGGGCTCTGCCGTTCCTGTTCCCAGGTTGCCTGTTCTTGTTTCAGCCGTTCCCTGTGCTCTTCACGGAGAACCTACCTGGGTGTTAGCTACCTATAAAAGGAGCGCAGGCAGCTTTTTTCACTCTGGGGAAAAAAAGAGACAGGAAAAAGTAACTAATGTTCCTCACCTAAGAGAATTCACTAAAGGACAGACTTTCCATACTGATGTGAGCAGTTTCAACAAAACATTGTATGTGACGTGTTAAAATATTTTCCTTCTCAAAATTATAGTTCTGCACTCATTTATCTGCATCCCCCTTAACAAACTATGAATGTTGTTAGAATCAGTGGAATGAGAGAGAACCCCTCTAGAATGTACCCGCAGGGTTGAACGTGGCAGTTGCTAATTTAGAATGGATTGATACTTCGGACTTTAACTTTTTCCTTATGTGATTTTGACAGCCTGACCTGAGTCCCTCAGAGCAAGATGACAAGACTCCAGGGAGACTCCAGACTGTATGGCCACCACCAAAAGCACAGCATGAAGAGGCAAAAGTAGGATTAAAGTACACAGAAGCAGGTAAAACATAGAGGTGAACGTTGGCAGAAGTCAGTCTCTGAGATGTCTTTTTATTCTTTGGTATAGAAGTGTTCTGATAAGTCACTGTATGGTCTTGTCTGATTTCCCAGATCTTTTATTTTTTGGAATATGTTATTTACTATGATCTGATAAGCATGTAGTTTTCTAATTGTAAATGGTAAGTATGTTGCAATCTAAATATTTACATTTATAAAAGCCATGAGACAAGAAGTGGGTTTTCATATATTGGGTTGTTCTTTTCTAGAGGATTTCTCTTCAGGTGGTGGACTGAATACAGAACTAAAAACTTACCTCCTTTTTATTGGCTTGGGCTGTGGGGTGGAGTGATTCTGTAAGAGTCTAGCCTGATGTGCTTGCTTTTATTTAGGCAATGTCGCGCTGTTAAATCAAAGATGAAAGTAATTAATGCCAATTAGAACTCAGGAATACTCATATCCACCCAGATCATTTATAAAGCTAGGCTTATATCTTATTTAGCAATGAATATGTCTGAAACCTAGAACTAATTATGAGATAAGCTGTTTAGAGAAGTGTTTCTTCCTGAGTTTGGTATTTAGACAAACGTATTTTCTGTTTGGCAACAAATGAACCATGAGTCAGCAGTGTGTCCTCATGGCTAAGAAGGCCAATGGGATCCTGGACTGCATCAGGAGGAGGCCAGGCCTCTCTACTCAGCTCTGGTGAGGCCGTACCTGGAGTATGCGTGCAGTTCTGGGCTCCCCAGTGCAAGAGGGATGTGGAGCTTCTGGAGAGGGTCCAGTGGAGAGTGACAAAGATGATTAAGGGACTGGAACATCCTGAGCATGAGGAAAGACTAAGTGAGCAGAGCCAATTACCTTGGAGAAGACTGAGAGGGGATCTTATCAACATGTTCAAATACCTTAGGGGAGAATGTAGGGAGAATGGGGCCAAAATCTCCTTGGTGATGGCCAGCAAAAGAACAATGGGTAATGAGTACAATTTGAAACACAGGTAGTTCTATTTGCATGTGAGGAAGAACTTCTTTACCGTACAGGTGCCTCAGAGAGCCCTGGAAGAGGCTGCTCAGGGAGCTTGTGGAGTCTCCTTCTCTGGAGATCTCCAGCTGCCACTCTGTGACCTGTGCTCTGGATGTCCCTGCTGGAGCAGAGGGATTGGACTAGATGATCTCTAGAGGTCCCTTCCAACCTTAGCCATTCTGTGATTCTATGATATTTGAAAGGTTATTGTAGCTACTATTAGCATAGCATAGCAATAGTATAACTATTTCAGATTTCTATTCTGAAATATAAGGATATTCTTCCTGTTCTTATCAGTCATAATGTGCAATTGTGTAAAAATATGAAATGAAATTTGTTCTTTAGAATGTTGTTCACTGTGGCTATCCTATATGTCATTTTCTTCCCCCTCCCACCGCCCGCCTTTCATTAGCTCTCTCTGCCTTCCTTTTCCTTTTTATGAAGTGGCCATGACACTGGAAGTGTAGACATTGTTGTACATTTCAGAAAACTTCTTTTCTTTCAGAAAACTTCTTTTCTTCCAAGTTTTGCAAGAAAAGCATTTATGTAATGTAGACAGACTTGACTGATTTACAGTGCTTCCATACTCAAGTGCAAGAGGCTATTTCTAGGTGGACAGGACAATATTCACGCCAATAGACGTGATTATTAATCACAGAATCTTAAAGTTTGGAAGGGACCTCTAGAGATCATCTAGTCCAGCCTTCCTGCTCAAGCAGGCACACCCAGAGCATGTGGTACAAGGTGGCATCCAGGTGGGTTTTGAAAACCTCCAGAGAAGGAGACTCCACAACCTCCCTGGGCTTATCCGTTAAGGATTTCTACAGTCTCTTGCTGCTACACTTAAATGTTTATTATAGGCTATATGCTTGCAATATTCTGTTTTCCTCAGGTAAATATTTTTTCTCCTTTTTTTTGACTATAATCATCTGTGGCAAAACATGTCTTAAAGAAAAAGAAATTAAATTAATAAAACCTCCATATACTAAGAGAAAAATTAGATCATGCTTTCCAGAAGTTTGAATAGGAAGGGCAGGTTGGCGTAGAGCCCATGCAAATTGTTCCTGTTTGTTACTGAGGGATTTTGGGTGACAATCCCATCAACGTGCATGGTTAGTTTGCCAAGTCAAATTTTTATACAGTCCAGACTACACAGTCCATTAGTCACCCGGTGTCTGATGTGACTGAAATGAAAGCGGGCGGCTCAGCTCGGATGAGACACAGTGGTACTTTTAAAGAAACAAGCAAACACTGTGTATACAGCGTGTGTTAAGGGTATGCTAGTTATACACACAAACCTACTAGCTGCTGAGGTGTGTTTCTCTTGGCACTGTTAATATCCATGAATTGGCAGAAAGCAGCGATGGCAGCAAGGATTGTCACTGCAGAAAGTTATAAGTGGTGATAACAGGTAGCTACATCCAGTTTTCCAAGTACTAGGAAGAATATTTTAAAGCATAATGCGTAGGAATGAATATTTACAACCTTTTGCAAGTTAAAGATATGAAGTTCATATGAATAGCACAGGTATAATTCAAAAAACAGAGTTTGTATTCCAGATTGGCCTGATTTGATAGATTCTTGTTTAGTACTTATGGAAGTGGAAATACAATATTAGTGCTAAGCTCCTTATCTTCTCTATGGCACTGACAAAGTGCATATGTATGCTGACATTTCCCCTCATGGCCCTCCTTGCCCATATTTCCCTCCTAGTCTCCAGTACCTTAGGAACTTCTTGTCCAAAAGGTTTTTTTTTTAATTTTATTTTTTTTTATTCTATGTTTGGAACCATTGAAATCATTAAACTTGCAGAGATCTTAAAGCTATCACCTATTTCCCACCACAGTATCCTGTCCCAATAGCTAAGGTGAAATGAACAGCTGATTTTAGAATCAAGTTTTAAAATTGTCTGTGGCCGGGATTTTTGTGTTCCACCTATGATTTTCCTGAATAGATGATTGCTTTGTAACATAAAGCAGAACTAAAATGCCTTGTTTTAACTTTCAGCCAGCAGTTCAGTCAATATTTTTTTCATGTTAGTAATTTAATTTCTGTAATTAGGGGTTTCATCTACCAAAACAATAGGAGTATATATACAAATAATGATAACAAGATATATTATTAGATAACTATTTGTTTAGCACAACTTTGTTTTAGAGTAAAAAAAAAAAAAAGCCACTTGCCATAACTATTCTGATGTATTTAAACAGTGATCTCACTTTCAAGAGAAATCAGTGGACACATCTTTGTAATTCTAGCATAGGAAAAGATGTATGTACTGTGCTCTTTCTCACAGTTCTCAGCCTTTGATTTACTTCCTTCATGCCCATGGAATAGGACAGCTATGACAGGAAGGCACAAATATCGAGTGAGAGGATTACTGGCTTTTTGATCTTTTCTCACCTACCTGCCATGTTTTTCCTCATTGTTCTTGATGCCTCCTGGAAGCCAGAAATTCCAGCTTAATTTGTCCTACGCAGCAGACCTTGCAGTGACTCACAGCAGCTTGGAGAAGCAAGTGACTCCCTCGAGAGGCCTCCAGTCTGGCTTGATGTGTGGGAAACCAACTGAAAAGCAAACAGACATAACAAGGAACACGTGTCAAACTGACTAGGACTGTTAGGATCATCAGAACTGAATGATATTAGCAAACAAATATAATTCTGCAACAGATCCATCCATGCCATTGATAACATCTTGCATAGTCAAATTATTGTCACCTCCAACATTTAGCAAATTTTGAAATCGCCAGCAAATATCTCCAAATCTTGAGTTATAAATTTTGAATGAAAGGGATGATACCATGAGATTTTTAAAACATCTTATGTTTTCTTAATCCTTTAGTTCATCTATTTCCATACTGAAATTGACTGCATCTCAGTCATCATCTCTATGTCCGTATTTCATACAAACTGTCGACATACTTCTCTAGAAAAAAAATGGAGCTTTTTTCAAGCATGTAAGTCTAAAATAGTTGAAGCAAGTCTGTGATGAATCGCATCATTTATATTCTGCAAGACTAAAAAATGGCTATATATTTATTCCATGGAAATCTTTCCTATATAAACAGAGACATTTCTGTGCATAGTTCTGTGGTCCTACAATTCTGTTACTCCATTTTTTAAAATGTTTCTTAATTTTTCCCCCATAATTTTTGGAGAGATTTCCATTTTTTAAGCATCGGATTTCGTAAAGGGTAGGTGTCGCAGCTGTTACATGTAGTGAAAATACTTGGCCAGGTAGCAGGGGCAGATTCACTAGTGAGTTCACCTGTGATATTAGGCAGCCTAGAATCAACACATAATGAGTGCCTCAGGTGTGACGGAGGGCAAGGCCAGAGTGCAGGCATGAGGCATGGAGTTGAGGCAGGACTTCTGCTCAAAAAACTACTTAGGTTTGAAAACTGATCTCCACATTGGGCAGATAAAGCAGAAAAAAAAGACTGTAATACCTATGAAACATTCATCCACTGTGTATTCTCTTTCAGGACATTTTTTCTCTTCATTCAGGTGTTTGTGTTTAGCAGGAAGCCTCACATCCCTCTTCTATTATAGTCTGTCTTTGTGTCGTACTTAAATCTGCAGCAAAGTCTGTCTTCATAGTGTGTCAATCGGTATGACAGCAGTCTGCGATGCTGAAAGCACAGGCCTTGATTTCAGCATAGAGAAGGAAATCAAGAGGTAATTGGAGAAAAAAATAGAGTAAAAATATTAAAATGAGTCTAAATATAAAGAGAAATAAAAAACAATGTCAGAGATCTGCTGCCAAATGTCACATATATTACAGCTTTACTCTCGTGTGTTCTGGGTTCCCATGAAGAAATTACTTTATGGTATGTATGGTCATGATATAAGTGCAGAAAATAATCTGCTAACTTTGGAGAAAGAAAGGCTGAATGTTCCGGACAAAGAGATGGCAGATAAGAGCATGATTTCTTATCTGCCATTTAACACAGGCTTTCTTTGTGGCTTTGAACAATTTATGTTTGTCTCTGAAGCAGCCATCATGCTTGATGCTCTTAGTATCGCAAAGGAAATTCTTGTAAATTTGTTTTATTGGAATCAAATTGTTTCATTGTTGTACTCTTTTTCTCTAAGCAATGAATAGATGAATAGGTACTGGCATCTATGTTGTATACATTAACATGTGTCAAGACTAGCCTAAAATTTAGTTACCAAGGAATGCTGGGGTCAGGCATAAGCTGAATAGCAGCTCTGATATTGTCAGTGTCTCCTAAAACTGGATTTATGTTCCTGAAGGGGGAGGTTGTATCCTTGACAATCTAGACCTCTACTACTTTATTCTCGTTTTTCAATCTATCTATTATTATTAATATTTGCCTGAATTGTGGTACTATTTAGAAACTGTAGTCAGTTAGACTCCAGGAAAGATGTCTGACTTGGAGGGTTCTTAAAAGCTGTGTGATGGCACAGTAGATGTAGATAGAACTTCATCGAATAGAAGTTTCTTGTATAAATTAGTTACTGACAAGTATTAAAGTAATTTTCAAACAACCACTTTGCTACAGATCTTAGTGGCAACAGCAGTTTTTCAAGATGCCTGGTATGTCTTCTTAGTAAGATTGGTCTTAGGGACTTTTTAAAAAATATTTTAAAACCTTCACATAAGATACAAGATTTGACTGTGAAGAATCTTGTGTTACAGTGAGATGTTTCGCAGCCTGAGAGATATCTGCTTTTCAAACTGTGGGTTTGTTGAGCACTGCAAGTGATATAAGAGGGCTGGAGGCAGTAAAGGGGAATTGTTATCTCCTCCTCCTGATAAGGCTGGTGAATGGGCAGCAGCAGCCTCCCTGCCCTTCCCTATCGCAGCTGACTCAGTTTTTTGTACTGTGCCTCCTGAGACAGGAATAAAGAGGAAGGTCTCTATTAATGCCAAAGACTTGTTGCTAAGATGCTTAGGTTTCACTCCCAGTCATGATGCTGTCTTCTGGAATGACTTTAGGAAAACTACATGAACTTTCCAAGCTTCAGTTTACCTATCTGTAAAAAAGGAATAAAAATGCTGCAGGATTTCTTGAAAAAAATTGTTCAATCTTTTGTGTGGTAAGCTGCTGGGTTACTGTCACTATCCAGAGTCAGAATGGAAAAAATACCTATTCTCAATGCTTAAGTCAGCAAAAGCATTTAGAATATGGAAAATGTGCATAATGCTTTGTGGTAGGATACTTATGCTTGTCTATCCAGTGGGGATTATGTAATTACAGGATGAAGGAGGAGAAGAAGAGCTTTGCTTCGCTTTTTTAGTAAAATCCCTGTCATTTCCATAATGGGTACTGTTTATTGAAATGCAATGACTTTAGAAGACGTAGGATATTATGTCTAGATGTGTCTAGTATTGCAGATGTCTAACAAACACATTTTTTTTCTTTAGTATACAAAGCCATATCTGAATACATATGTCTGCCTAGCCATAGGTACTAGTCTGATCAAGAATTTTCACATAGAACAGTTGGGTTCTGCTCAAAGCAGAAACAAGATTTTAAACTAGATTTTTTTTTCCTAGTAAGATTATTCTGTTAGTTGCACAAAGCAAAGGCAAATTTTACTGTAGTTTTTATTTTGAAATGTATGCACTGCCCATTTTTCATGCCTTTATCGATGTGATGCTGCGAAGCCCAAAATAGTCATGGGATTTTACTAGAGAGCTGTTTTTATGCAACTGAAACACAGTGAAAGGGCAATTGTGCATAGCACAAGAAGAATGACATTGTATTTTGTTTGTGGTATTCTTGCTCAGGATACATGAGGCCCTTTGTATTAAAGAAATGCCTCTGAATTAAACTTGCATGTATCAGATCCTTCTCCAGTCTCGCTGCTCACGTGTTTGGCCCAGGGTTTGAACTTTGGGCAGCTGAGGATATGCTGGGAGGATGCACTTGTACATACGTGCATGGATCTATATTGTCCCTACTGCTGCCCACATGCATGTATATAGACAGACACATATACTGCTTTATAGTAATCTATATGTGTATTCTCAACCTATACTCACTGTGTACACTGTATAATGATTTGGAAACCCTTTTCTATCAAGAATCCAGAGAGAGGGCTTTTTATTTTAGTCTTGCACTGGGTGAGGTGGTTAAAGAGAATTTGTAACACATCAAATAAATTCTTTCATAAATTTGTTCTCACTGCTTGCTCTAGGGAATAGATTGTTCACCTTTTTGCGTTAGTGGTATTTTTTTATTTTATTTCCACCATCAAGGGTAGCTGTAAGTCACCTGTGACAGGAGAGGAGTGGCCGAGCAGGAAGTTACTCTGGTGACCACTCCTGAATGGCACTTTGGGTTGTTCCGCAGTCAGGAAGAGCTGAAGGGTTCTCCTCCTAAGAGAGATTTGAGGGTTTGCTTATTTATCCCTGGGGAGCCTGCAGGTCTGTGGGTAACATTCCTATATTCTTGGGGAATTCCAGAATTCAGGGAAGTTATTTCATTTTCTATAGCAATTTAACAATTGGATTTTCTGTAACAGTATGGGGATAATCTTGATCCTCAGGCAGTACTTAGATGCTTAAATGTTCACTTCTTTAAGACTGTTTGTCCTTCACATCTTCCCCTCCTGCCTCCTTTCTCCACACTCCCTCAGTGTTTTCCCTCCACCAGAATCTCGGAGGTGTTGCCAACCATTCTGTGGGGAATTTTAAGCTTGGAAGGCTTTTCCTTTCCCTGAATAATCTAAAAAACAATAGTGGAGGTGAATGTCTGCTCCTTTCCTTGTCTGGGGGATTGCCTTCCTTCTGTGAACTGAATGGCAGGGCTGTAAAAGAGTCGAAGTGAAATGCAAGGGAAGCAAGGGAAGGAGGACAGGATGGAGTAAATGGGGTGGGGTGAGGGAAGAAGATTCATATAAAAAAAGCATCAAATTTATAGTCGGTAAATGACCACTAGCCCTAAAATCCCACACACCTGAAAGTACGCGGTTCTAAGGATTTCTTTATGCGCCATTCTTTGTGAGTTTAGTTGGCTTATTCTAGCAGGATGCTTAAGTGCAAATGTTCAAATTGCTTTTAAGAAAGTTTAAGGAAATCTTTTCTGTCACTTTTACATATACCTACGCTTTGGACTTCTGACAAATAATCTTTTAAACATGTGTAAGGAACAACTTGTTTAAAATGCCGCCGCATTCATTTCAAGCAAGTACGATGCCCCTTTTGTGTGAAAGCTTTTGTTTTAAATTCCATTTGAAGCCAGGAGGACAGAAAAAAAAGCCTGTTTAGGGGGTGCAGCCCAAGGAGACTGCAAGGGGATGGGGACACCGCTGCCACCCTGTGGTTAGAGGAGAAATGGGCAGGAGGGAAGGAAAGGAGAGCGAAAGGGAGTACTGAAAATGATGGGACCAAGGATTTACTCGAGGAGGAGACAAGAAAGGAAATCCTACCTAACAGAGAACTTGAATGAGCTGAATTAGAAGCTAGTGGATACTTTATGCTATAGCATATGTTACATATCAAGGGAGGTAAACCGCACTCTCATTTGCTTCTTCTACTGCAGCCTTCTGTGCTTTGGTTAGTTTTAACTTTTTATATTACTGTTATTTTTTGGGTTTCCACTTACTGAGCTTTAAAAAGTAAAGTTACCTTCTCTGGTAGAAATATTAATATAGAAGGAGCTTATTCTGTATCATGAAAAAGCTTTATGTGCGCATCTGTTGTGTATGCTCATAACAGTTGTTGCTCTGCATTCAATTCTTTGTGAGATACCTCTGAGCAGGTGCTTGGGATTTGCATGAATCACATAGGTTGTCTAAAATGTCTAGTTTTTATTTCATGCCTGGTTTTATGTGCGTTAGGGGAAAAACATGCATGTTAGTGTATTCTGCTAAAGAAGCAGTGAAGTGTGCTTCATCATTCAGTTAGCATTAGTAATACCATGTTTGCTTTAGTTCTGCCATCCAGTGGCTTATGTCGTACATTGACTAAGGACATTCTTTTTTTTTTTTCTTTTGGAGTTGCATGTTATGTGTGCAGAGGCGTAAGGAGAACAGTGTTTTAGAAACAACTTAGAAGACTAGGTGAAAAATTCCTTAAAACATTCCCATTTCAAGTCTGTGCCTCCTAATCAGGTTGTTTAGGAGAGATCAGTAAGAAAATGCTATGAACGTCCTGGTTTGAACCGCTCTCCTTGTCTTAGGAAGCAACTTGACCAGGCCATAATGAGTGGCAGCATGAACATGTTTGTCATTTCCAAGAGAAAATCTTGAGAAATCAATAAAATAAATGCTGGAGTCATTCTGCAGAGCGCAGTATGCAATTCTGCATACGCGTCTTGCTCTATAGAGATGTTTGCATATCTCTTTTCACAGTAGGTGTTATTACATGTGGCCTGTGCTTAAGTGATTTATGTCCATGGCATATTTTTTACATGGCACTAATTCTTTTTTTTTAAACTTTCTATTTGATTCTTAGTGTCAATGCTAGTATCTAATACCACTTAAATTAAGCTGTTCATAATTCATTGATAATCTTTTGCAAGACAAATTGGTGCCAAAATACTGGCTGGTATATGTAGAGATTAATAAAATATCTGCTAGGATTGTATCTATTTAATATAAAAAAATAAAGAATTATAATAAAGTTAATGAGTATAAAAGTTAAAATACTCTGTATGAAACCTTAAGTACAATCTTACTTATGCTTTTGTCTCTAGCTCACCTAAAGCTTTACAAGGAGAGACCACGAGGTGGGTGGAAAAGTGTAATGTTGTCCGTCTGTGTCTAGTCTTTGGTCTCTTCTGTTATTGTAAAGGTAGTCTGTATCTTTCCCCCGATAGAATAAAAGTGATAAAGGTGAAATATACGGTGACTCTCGGTGTTCAGAACTAAACATTAAGTCTTTTGCACCTGCAAAATAGATAAGGTTCTGTTTTCAGCATTCTGTTTTTATGACTTCAGTGTCAGTTTTAGCCATCTGAATAAAATGAGTGGAACTTAGATTGATTTCTCCAACTTTCAGATCTATTCCACAATGCTGAGTGCCAGATTTTGCAATGTTAAAATATGAAGAATGATCGAAAGAGCATAATGAATAGGCACATCAGTTCTTCTTTTATTTATTTTCTATTCTTTTGCATGTGAGCAAAATTCAGGTAGTAATCAAACTGATCTGCCTAATAAATGGAATTGTAATAATCTGGCAGTGCTTATTTTTGAAATAATTTCTAAATTCTAAATAAATTCTATTTTCTGTTATTCTAAAACTTTCTCACTGTTCTAGAAAAACTCATTCTGAGGTCATGGACTAAACTCTTCCATTTTGAGATGCATCTCGTAGATTATAACAGATGAATTTTAGCCAAAAGACAAAGTGAGGTGATTTGAGAAGACCTGAGACACACTATTGCAACAAACTTCCAGTGATTTAGGTACATAGTACTAATTTAGGGAAGGGAAGCCTTTTACAAAGAGAAGGAGATTTAATTGCAGGAAAGAATGATATTAATCTGATTTATGGAAGTTTATTTCAGATGCAGCCCCTACTGCATCTTTTAGGGGCTTCCTGTGTTTTTTTTGCTCACTTATGTATCCCCTTGACAGGAGGCGGCACAGAGGCCTGGCTGTCTGTTGGATTTCAAATGAAGCTTGAGGAATTTATTTTGCACAAACTGTCATGACTTGAAAACTCTTTTTTAGAAACTGTAAATGCTTCAGAGTGAATGAGAGCACATGCGTGGAAATGAGGGAAGGAGACATTTCTTGTAGAGCCCTGCTGAGATAGCAGGGTATTTTGTCTAATTTGAAGTGAAAATCAACTTGTTTTGTTCTTGTGTCGGGAAGTACCCTGTATGCCTTTGAATACACTACTTTTTGGATATTAAGTCTTTGTAATCTGTATGATACGTAAAGTACTCTGAAATTTCTGTTTGCCTTTTGTACAAAAACAAACATTGAATGAAAGTTTCCAAAAAACCATGCAGAAGGCAAATAGTCCCCTAGGGAACTGCAGCTTCCTAGTGGTTACAATACTTTCTCTGAGGAATAAGTTGTTCTTCAGAAATCCTTCTTTAAGTAAGATGTATTGCCCCAATATCTCCAGCCAGGCCTGACTTTGACCTCTCATGAGAATTGAGAAATTGTCATTATACTATGTGTTGATGGTCAGTATTATCTCATTTATTCATTAAGCAGTTTCCTGTTCTCAAGTTTTTCAAACAATTACAATATAAGAATCTGTTAAGTATGAACTTTCTGAGGATTAGTTTTCTTGCCTTTTTTTTTTTTTTTTTAAATCCTGGTTGAGTTAGGAATGCTAGATGTTGTTGGAGATTTTTCAGTGTGTGTTTTACAAGACAGAAAGAAATCTTATAACCAGCATGACCATTTGATGCATTATACCACTGAAGAGCAAGGTCTGCCATGCAACTCCATGTAGATGACACAAGTGGACATTATATTTGACAAAATAAGTTCCAAGGCTTTTGAATTTCCTCTCATATTCCCTGTAAAATTTCATAATGAGAGTCCACTCATGTTCATTACAGATATACTGGCATTTTTTTGGAAATAGAAAAGTATTCAGATAGCTTTTACCTTAACAAAGGCAACTTATTTAGGAGCTTTTACAAACAGAATTTTCCTGCACATTCTGTTCATGAGCTGAGGTCTACGCAACTATCAGTAGTGTCTCTTTGGCCTCCTGCTATGTGAAGAGAGGATCTGCACTTTGTAATTTTTGGTCTGTATTTGATGCAAAGTATGTATGGCAAGTCCTAGATCTAAAAAGTATGAGTGCAAAGGATGAACGTACGGAGGAGCAGGCACGGGATGTGAAGGATCACTTCATCATTGTCCCTTTCATGATAATGAGCTCAAAATACAGTTTTGGTCTATATGGTAAAATCTTTATGATTAGCAGGTCTGCTGTAGCTTCAGGGCTTTACCTACTGGCTCTTGCAAAATATGGGAGTGAATGGAAATTTCAGATTTCACAGTAAGGAGATTACTGCTTTTATAGCTAGTAACTCTTTTTTTCAGCAGCGGCATTTAAAATGGAAGCCTGACACTACCATGCTTTTGTAACTAAACGTTACTGTGTATCTTAAATTTCATTCAGCCTTCCATACCTTTTGCCAACATTCATGTTATTTTAAAATGAGTATTTTTTCTCAAAACTGATTTTTAAAAATACATTCCTAACTACTAGCTGTTACTAACAGTTATTTATATTTATGTAAGGTGGATGTACATTTGTTCCTGTCACAATATCCTAAAAGAAGTACCTAGTTTTATGACAGTCGTATGTAATTGGTTGTAATTGTATTGATTGAAAGAAGGATCAAGTTGCATTAGTGAAGAGTATGCCCAAATGGGCAAATTATTCTGTCATTTATAATGCTTTTCCTTGAATGATGTCCTCTCAAAATGGAGGAGAAAGTACTAGGAGTAGCAAATAACAAGTAACATAATAAAAATCATAAGAAATTTACGGTGCCCTATGTTGCATAGGAGACAATGTATTAAATAGGTGCTGCAGGATATGTCCTTGTATGATACTCCTGTTTCTCTCCAGTAGCCGTTGCACTAAGTAATGTATCGGGTTTGTTAATTCTTACCACTTAGTACTCTCTAAGCATATTTTCATTTGGCATAAGCAAATCATTAAAAAACAAAAACAAACAAACAAAAAAACCCCTTATGCTCAGGAATTTTGTAGCAAAGATTAACATCTAGAAATTGTTTTGGAACTTCCGGCTAGGAGAGGTGATGAAAAGCACATGCCTTTTGGGAAGCCTGACACTGAAAAATAACCTAAAATGATGGTATCTTACAAAATATGTTTATAATGAAAAATAAAATATTCTTAGTTCTTTCAAGATTCTTTTTAACTGTTTTTATGCTGGATTTGCTTTAATCCTTTACAGACTTCTGCCATCAGTTTGTGGCTGCCTTAGTGCTTGTGTCCACATAGAGGAAGAGGCAGCAGAGCACTGAGAAGGAGTGGGTGTGTTGCAGGGGGCTGCTTTTGGTGCCAGTTCCTGTCAGAATAGGGGAACTGTGGCTGTCTTGCCCAAATCCCCAAGAATGTTAAGCAGCGAGTAATCTGAGAGAAAAAATAGATCTGTTCAGATAGATTTGTAGGTCTCTATGCTTGTTCCCTAAGCTAAATGCTTGTGTTGGGAGCAGTTTCTGAATCTGAACCGTGCTGTACAGGAAGAGAACATCTAGGTAGGTAGTTTTTGTTGTTGTTTTGCACCTTCTATAATACCAATCACTTCCCCTTTGCATCTTTTATATCAATTAATCATTTCAGCTGCTTGAGCTATAGTTTCATGTGGCTCTCAAAACAGTTGGAGGGAATAACCTTTGCATTAAAAATGATCTGTCACACTCCTCTCAGGGTGATGATCTGATTATCTTTCCTTTGTTCTTCCAGATGCTCTCAGGAGAAAGGAAAGTAATTCCTTTTCCAAACATTCCAATTCCAAACAAGCCTTGCTACACCTAAGCACTAAAATATCTTAATGCTGCTTTCCTGACTCTACTTTTTTCAGACACCATACAAACCTCTTAGTGTTACAGAGTGTTGTCAGTAAAATTTAGACTTCTTGAACTATTTACAGTTCCTGTTTGAATTAGTTCTGATTCTTTTTTCAGCTGAGGAAGCAGAAGTCAGGGCAGGAAACTGGAAATATGCCACTGAATTGGAAGCTTGAATTGGAAGCAGATAGAAGTAGGGCTTTAACAGTCTGAGAGCAAACTCTAGCTGCTTGTTTGAGAGCTCTAGCTTCTGGGCCAATGTATACAGGAGACTGGCTCTTTGAATCATTGCACAACCCTTAATGAAAGGCCTTCTCTTTCTTCTTAGTCAAATGTAACCTAAGTATGGGTTGAGGGTAACTTCAGCATGTGGCCCAGCTTCTAGGAGTCCACTTCAGCCTGTCACTAAACCTGTTTAGTCAATGTTCACCACTCTCTTTGCTGCATTGCTGATTTAAACTTCTCTGGCTTTGAGTTTCACCTCTGAACCTTGCTGCACCATTCCTCATGAAATGTTAGAGCCAATTAGGACCTGGTATCTTTTCCCTTGGAAGGTACTTAACCTGCTGTGGTCAATCTTCATCTGGTAAAATTAAGAGAAACAATTATTTAAATGTTTTGCTGCTGGGTACTTTTTGAGGTTTTTATTTCTACTTGTGATTGCCATTTTATCCAGTTTACCTATCTAATACATTATATATTTAAATTTTTAAACCATTGTGTTTAATATATGTTTTTCTTTAGAATGTATGTGTATGTATATGCATGCATATGCCATAAGATGCTATCAACTCTATTTTTGCAAAGCTAAACCTTTCATTGCCTCTTTGCATTTTCACTGTGAGATACCTTACCCACATTTTTCCCTCTCAGCATGGAAGACCTCCTTGCTTTATCCTCTGCTGTTAGTAAAACGTTTGAAAGTCTGGTCTTGTGGTTTGAGAAAATAAGTGCTAATCACTATGTTTATATTTTCCTCCCTTGTCATCACTGTAACAGGTCTTTTATTTGAGAGCTGATGTTTGCATTCTGGGTTTGATAATGTAGTATGAGATGTTTTAGGCTGAAAACCATCAAGTTGTTTTCTGATGCTAATGGAAAACACTTTTTTTTTTTTTTCCACTTTTACAGAGTACCAAGCTGCCATTTTGCATTTAAAGAGGGAACACAAAGAAGAGATTGAAACGCTAAAGGTATACTCTTGTAAAGTTTCCTTTTCTTTCCCTGATTTTTGTGCAATCTTCAGAGTTACGTAGTGCATCATATGCTGTCTGTCTAATGTTAAGTATGTTGTTTCATTCTAAAAGTGTTTCAGTGAGCTGACTTAAATAGTACATTGTTTCTATGGTGCAGGATTAAAAATAGTTTTATACCCCCTCAAAAATATTATAAATGTATTTGTGAGACTCTGTAATTTTCTATTATGCTTTTTATTAATGCTTGTTTTTGTTGAGTGTAAGCTTGACCAGTTGTCTAACAATCAAAATCCAAAAAAAATGGAAGTGTAATATTAGAACTGGCTTTCCCCTATCATAAGTGATTCTGCTAAGCAAAGTGAAAAGTTGCAAGTGCTCTGATCATAAGGGCAGGAACTTAAATACCAGCATAACACCAAGTGAGTTAGTTGAACAGGAAGGTTGTATTACTTATGTGCAAAAAATAATGTCATTGTTCTTCTCTTGACGGTTAAGCATGAATTTGAATCAGCACAAGAAAAGGCAAGCTAGTACTAGGTAAACATGTAGTAATAATGTCTAGCAACTATAAATAATAATAATCCTTGCAAAGAATTATCCCACACAAGAACACCTCATGGAAATGGAAGGTGTGTGTGGGGGGGTAATTCACTTGGAAGGAGAATTTTGGGGAATACAGAGGCTCGGTGAGAGAGAGAACAGTTTACTACCATGATGGAGTAGCTTGTCAATGAGAAGTCTGTTTATTCTAGCAATAGAAAGTGAATTCTTAAGGTGGGAAAAAAAGTTGCAACCCTTCTGTCCTATATGTGTAGCTTAATGTTATAGGTTCTTTTCCACCTCTTTTGGAAGTTTTATATTTTTACTTGACTGTGTGGAGGAAAATACTCGTGGACTTCTTCAAGATTTTTAGATTTTTTTTTCCTGCCAAGTTCATTTCCTATGAACTTCATATGGCATAAATAACACAAAGGATAACCAGGGAAAAGATATGGAAACATTTATTTTTTTACTGATATGCATTTAAATTAAGTTCAGTTAAAGTGTTCAAATTATTTCCTGAATATTTTGCCTGTTATTTTATGCAAATTTAATGATATTGAAAAGATGTTAATAAACCATTTCTATTCTCCAATATTGAAAAGTATTTCCTACTCATTCCACTAGATGTCAGCTAAGTATTCTTTCAGAAAGTGTTCCCAAACCACGTCGCAGCTTCCTCTTGAATGTGTGAATTTTTTTCTTCTGAGCTATAAAAATACATGTGATAACACCCATTTACAAGTATTTGTGAAGCATTGCCCCTTATGAAAGTAAAGTTTCCATCTATTGAGAACGAAAGTTTCTCAATATATAAATAGCAGAAGTCATCATCTTAATAGCTTTTCTTCTTTACATAAGCAAGCCTTACAGTATTTAATAACCAAGTAAATGACAACAACTTAACATTAAATCAAAATACTGTAAGTAGACTGGTGACTTGTGAAAGGAAGTAATGTGAAGGTGATATTCGAACTGCAGCAAAAAATAGTGCTTTCAAAGCATTAATGCTCAATAGCACTTTCAACGTACCTGTAAGTTGGTTTCTTTATCTGAAATTTTGTCTCTAGTTTTTTCTTCCCTCCTCTAGTCAAAGATGCCCCAAATCCCTTTCTCTCGTTTACAGATGAGCTTAATACTGCTTTGAGAAGATGCAATGAAAGTCTTAAGCTCTTCTGTAACTCATGAATCTTCTTCTCTAATACAGAACTTCTGGAAGGACATATCTCTACTTGCATCTAGTTACAAGTGTATTACAGAAAGTAGAGAAATACTGTAGAAGAATGTGGTGTGACTGCCTATGCTATTATGAAAGAACAGACTGGCCTTAGTATCATGGTTTTTATAGAGACCTTTCTGGTTTTCTTCGTAAGCTTTGCATAAAAGATTGAAGAGCAGAAAATTTGAGGAAAAAAAATATTTCCTTGCTACAAGAAAGCTAGCTTAATTATGAATTTCACACCACACATGGGGATGAAAGACCAATACCTGAAAGTTTCCCAGAGGAAGGTTTCTAAACTCTGCTAGAGGGAGGAATCTGAAATGGAAAGTCGTAACATCAGCCACACTTGTCTGAAGATTTCAAAGTGAAATTCAGAATGTACCATGAAAATGTTCTGCTGGTTACTGAATGAAGAAATAAGGTTGTACCATGTGATGACCATTCTTTTTACAAATCTGATCTTGTCTGACATGCTTCGTGATTCCTTTGCTTTTTCTTCCGCTTTCCAGCTTCCCATATATTTTCCTTTAAAGTCAGCATGCTTGCCATTTTTTAATTATGTTTAATTATTCTTCCTGTCTGGGGTTGGGAGGGGAAAGCTTTTCTTGTTTCTCTTTTTTGCTGGTTTTGTGTGTGTGTGTGTGTATGTGTAGGTGAATTCTTCCATAGGCTGGGAGTTTCACAATTTCTTAGAAGTTGCTGTTTTAAAATTTACTATGAAACTATGGAGGCCAGTAACAAAGTGTTAAAAGTTCTGATGTGTCAGAGTGCTTAAGAAAATACCTAAGTGGATAATACACTGTCTTCTGGTACTAAAATTTTACAGTGTAGAGACCATTGTTTTCAATCTTTACTAGTTAGATGCATACATGATCTATCTGCTTTGTGTGAGCAGAAGAAACCCTGTGTCATGTGTGTCTGTCTGCTAAAGCAGAGTTGCTGCCCAAAGGAGCAGACAAGGTCAGCAAGGGTTTATTAGTCAGTCTTTCCTAATGAGCTCTTCAGGCTTTTCAGCATTTCCATGTGTTGTGACTGATGAAGGTTTCCCAGCTTGTGCTTAATTATTGATACCACTCTTGCCTAACTTGAAATGTTTCCGTCTTTTGTGCTGAGCTGCTGTGTGGTTTCACCACCACCACCATTATGGTTGTGCTGAGTGACTTTATGGGACCTGTTCTCATTGGAAGTGCTGTCCTCAGGGAGGAATTCCATGGTTAGTGTGGAACCTGCTTGTAGTGCATGGCTGAAAATATAAAGATCATAGAAATCAATAAAAACTATGAAAAAGAGGGAACTGAAGGCCTATGAAATGCGCTTAAGATATTAGTTCCGGTGTTTGTAATGCTCCAAGACAGTGGGAGCAACATGGGAAGGTCCTTACCATGAGAAAGTACCTTTTTTTTTTTTTTTTTTTTTAAAAAAAAGGCAAACAGTGTGTATTTATTATGTAAAAACATGCAGATTATAAGGTCTTTGTTCATGTCATAGTCTATAGTCAAAGCCTTTATAAAACTCTGTGTTTTGATATTTACATTAAACAAAACTGTTCTGCCTCTTTTCCTTCATGTCCATAGACTTGATATTTTTTATATTCTTAATGTAGTCGGTGCTTTTCATTCTTATGTTTCCCATATGGTGTTGATCAGATTTTCGTTATGCCACTCCTGCAAAGCAACCAAACATGCTCTTATAATATAATGCTGGGGCAAAAACTAATTCTGCTGATTAATGGGTGCTGTGGCTTACTCTTGGTTAAAGTAGCATCTCCCTGTCAAGGCTGCTTTGAAATTGAAAAAAAAAGGCAAACAAATTGAAGTTATCCAATCTGTAGAGTTCATAAATTATTTCTGAAATACATGTTCTAGTGGTTTTTTTTCTTTTCTTTCTTTTTTTTTTTTTTTTTTTTCTTTTTAACCTGCTATGAAACTCTAGTATAAGCATCTCGGCACTGTTAAAAAGAAGAGCAGTTATAAGCCAGGGTTTCCTCTTGAATGTTACATGATTGGCGAATGCTCAAAGACTGTGATCTGTTTTTATTACTGAAATTTGTATGCTAGTAACTGCAGAATTGGAACTTCCAATGTTAAACCAAGACAGGAATCCTGAAAGATAACTTACCTTGGATTTGAAGGATCTTACGTATTTTACCTTGAGAGGGATATCTTGTTTGTGTTTTTCCCTAAATATTATAATGTATTATTGTATTTTCACTGTAAAAAATCTTGTGTGTGTAATAGTGTGTATATGAGGAGTACTGTGAGTATAATGAATACTGCTGTAGTTTGTTACTATGCCTCAGGATGCCGGTGCTGAAGCAGAGTAACCTTTACTATATAGAAATGAGGTAATATATTTCATAATGTTATAGATTAGATGTTGATGGATGAACTGTTTCACCAAAGCAATCTGTTTTGTTTCGATACATTCTGCAGAGTTCCTTCTCTGTAACACATGAGCAATGCAGGAACTGCAAGCATCAGAGAACTAGTCCCATAGGCTGCTGTGTTTCATCAAGTAAAACTGAAGCTGTGCTATTGGTATCTGGGTTCAGACAGACCCAGAAAGAAAAAGACAATGTGGAGAATGGGGTACAAAACCATCTTTATGAAAAATTAACTGAGGGACGGGGAAGATAATTTATCAAAGGTGATGGGTATTGGATTTTTTTTTTTCTTCTATGTGTTTGTGCTTAGGTCAGTTACTAAAATATTGTTTGACTTGTTTGAAAAATCTGCATCATCTATTTACTTCATTTTTATCACATGGCAAGGAAGTGAATGGCTTGCTAAGCCTCAAAATAGCCAATATTTTAGTTGTCTTCACTGAACATTTTAACTCTATAGGCTGATGGAGAGGATGATCTTCTCAATGTAGGTTATTCTTAGATTGTAACAAAGTTATGTTCTTAATGATAGAATGCTTCAACTTCTGAAAGTGTAGCTATATTTAACTTTAAAACTCATTTTCATAAAATCATGATACTCTGTGGCTGTATTTCTCTTGACAAAATAGTATTCATTCTTGCTTGTTATCCTGTAACTTTGTTTGATGGATCCATAACTTCATGTTTAACTACTGCTCTCTGTGTGATATACTACCTCCACTTCTTGCTTCATCTTACTATTGCTTCAACTAAACCATTCGTCTAACTTAGCAGAAGGTGATACGTACCATTACTTTCCGACATAATTACAAGGCTTTATTATAATGGCTTAATCTTGGAGTCTGTGCCAAA